GCTATGGTTTTCCCAGTAGTGATGTATGGAAGTGAGAGCTGGACCATAAAGAAGGCTGATCACCGAAGAATTGATGCTTTTGAATTATGGTGCTGGAGGAGACTCTTGAGAGTCCCATGGATTGCAAGAAGATCAAACCTATCCATTCTTAAGGAAATCAGCCCTGAGTGCTCACTGGAAGGACAGATCCTGAAGCTGAGGCTCCAGTACTTTGGCCACCTCATGAGAAGAGAAGACTCCCTAGAAAAGACCCTGATGTTGGGAAAGATGGAGGGCACAAGGAGAAGGGGACGACAGAGGACGAGATGGTTGGACAGTGTTCTCGAAGCTACCAGCATGAGTTTGACCAAACTGCGGGAGGCAGTGGAAGACAGGAGTGCCTGGCGTGCTCTGGTCCATGGGGTCAAGAAGAGTCGGACACGACTAAACAACTAAACAACAACAACAACAAAGCATAACACGGTGTAGTATGTCATGTGTTGTTGTTCATCTGAGGTTGCATTTACCTAATTTTAAGACCTGCTAAGGAACGAATGATTGCTATTATGTCCTGATATGTAAAACCACAGAATTCAAAGAGGGTGCACTTTCTTTTCCCCATGACTGTATATAAATGATTGGTCTGATTGTAACTTGATGAAAATTTACTTCTGTTTACATTTCCTGTTTTCTACCTAGAATAGGCTTAGCGTAGTGGTTATAGTGTGGGAGACCAAGGTTCAAATTCTCTCTCAGCCATGAAGCTTACTGACCTTGGGCTAGTCACTGTTCTTGGACTAACCTATTTCACAGAATTTGAGCATAAATGGGGAGGAGGAGAACTACATACTCCACCTTGAGATCCTAGGAGAAGGTGGGATATAAATGGAACGACAAACAAATACATCTTAAAAACATTTCGCGTTTGATCTTGCCGTGACAGCAGCACTGCATCAACACACACACTGCATCATATTCTTCATTGGTCTACCATCATATCGCCTTGCCATTTCTCCTGCCACTCAGCTCCCAGCTCTTGTCTAAACTCATCACCTTACACAGAAAACTTGACACAGATTTATGGGGTGTCCCCCCCCCAGCCTGTGCATCTGGTGGAGGGCAGTTTTGCCAATCCCTAGGTATGCTTCTGGCTATGGCCATTCTCTAACAACCTTAGGACTTCAACTTTTTGGCCTTATTCTTTCTTTCTTTCCTTCATCTTTTCTTTCTCCCTGTCTCATTAATTGTATTTATTTATTCACCACACATATATCTCACCTTTCATCCAAGGAGCTCAAGGTGGCATTCATGGTTCTCCCCCTTCTCATTTTATCCTCACAACAACCCTGTGGGATAGGTCAGGTCACCCATCTGACTTCATTGAAGATTTGAACCCTGCTGGTCTCCCCATGTCCTAGCTGGTATATCTATCAGTCTTCTTCTTTTTCCCCATCTCTCAGTACATTTCTATGTGAATCTATCACACAACGACATTCTCTCTACTTTACTGATGATCATCTGCATATCCCTCCACAAATTTTTGCATCTCTCTCATATGTGCCAGTGAATCTATATAGTCCCAATCCACCCCATCCTTGGCTCTTAGATGTGCCTGTGCCTGCATGCCCCCACCCACCTTACAGGTAACCCGCCCATCTCCTGAACCTTCCATCCCTTACAGGCTTGAACCTAACTTAGCATCCCAGTTCAATCAAGTCAAGCACATTCCCGTTAACCATCTGGGAGAGGTGGGTGGCAATGTAGTGTTTTTTTAATCAATGGAAAGAACTTTCTGCTCTTGCTTAAAAAGAAATTAGTTTGGAAAACCCATAGTGGTAAGAAAAAAGTCTGAACCCACAAAAAGCTAAAGCTCCAAGTTGTTGAACTCCCTAGTCAGAGAAGAATGTATTTCTCTCTACAGGAAATCAATTCTGCTTCCAAGGACAAAATACGACATTGTCAGATATTTTAAAATAACCACCGTATGGAAAATAAGTCAGAGTTATAAACATGCAGTACATACTTATCTCCCACAATCCCCAAGTTGATTGTTGGGTACCCATGTTCTTGAATTGTTGCTAGAAGAGTTGAACGATTACTGTCTCTAATCTTTCCTGGTAGCAGGTCATCTTCAGGATTCAATAGCTATAAAACCAGAATCAAAATACCTGAATATTCACCTTCACAGCAAATAAAACATAAAACAGCTGTTTGTAGATGTTTTGATGTTGGACTACTGCAATGCGCTCCACATGGGGCTACCTTTGAAGGTGACCCAGAAACTACAACTAATCCAGAACGTGGCAGCTAGACTGGTGACTGGGAGTGGCCGCTGGGAGCACATAACACCGGTCCTAAAAGACCTACATTGGCTCCCAGTACATTTCTGAGCACAATTCAAAGTGTTGGTGCTGACCTTTAAAGCCCTAAATGGCCTCAGCCCAGTATACCTGAAGGAGCGTCTCCACCCCCATTGTTTAGCCTGGAAACTGAGGTCCAGTGCCAAGGGCCTTCTGGCAGTTCCCTCACTGCGAGGAGCGAAGTTACAGGGAACCAGGCAAAGGGCCTTCTTGGTAGTGGCACCCACCCTGTGGAACGTCCTCCCATCAGATGTCAAATAAATAAATAACTATCAGACTTTTAGAAGACATCTGAAGGCAGCCCTGTTTAGGGAAGCTTTTAATACTGGATGAATCATTGTATTTTAATATTCTGCTGGAAGCCACCTAGAGTGGCTGGGAAAACCCAGCCAGATGGGCGTGAAATAAATAAATAAATAAATAAATAAATAATAGTTATTATATTTGACTTTCTATTCAGATCATAAAATGATAGTAGATTTAGTCTGTAATATTCATTTTGTTGGGAAGTATGCTTTATGTATTCAGGATAAGGATTATGTTGCCAGTATCTCAAATGGAGCTGTTTGAAACCAAGTAACTATTTAGAAATATAATTAAATTACTTTGCTCGCAATAATAAAATTCTCTATCGCAGAATGTGCCCATTACTATTGGACTTAATGAACACTGTGTATGAATCAGCATTTGTGGTTTATTTCTTCCAAACAACCCATGAGTGGCAAGCTAGTAACAAACTTTGTTTCTCTCTGCTCTAAGCAGGGTGGAGTGAAACAGGAGTGATTGAACAGTATGCACTAGCATGCTGCTCATTCACAGGAAGACATAAATCATGTGAACTATTCATTGAGTTGCTACCTTGTTAAGACCAAGATGTTGCTGGTAGTGAAACCAAGGAGAGGGAAGAGAAGTCTTGGTAGTGGGGATGTGGGAAGAGGGGGAAGTCTATCATTCTGCCCGGACGCTGAGGTCCAGCGCCGAGGGCCTTCTGGCGGTTCCCTCATTGCGAGAAGCAAAGCTACAGGGAACCAGGCAGAGGGCCTTCTCGGTAGTGGCGCCCGCCCTGTGGAACGCCCTTCCAGCAGATGTCAAAGCGATAAACAACTACCTGACATTCAGAAGACATCTTAAGGCAGCCCTGTTCAGGGAAGTTTTTAACGTGTGATATTTTACTGTATTTGTGGTTTTTATGGAAGCCGCCCAGAATGGCTGGGGAGGCCCAGCCAGATGGGCGGGGTATAAATAATAAATTATTATTATTATTATTATTATTATTATTATTATTATTATTATTATTATTATTTTCATCACAAGTATTCTGTATGATTGGTATAAACACTGCTTTGCATCAGGCCTTCTCCAAACCATGAACTGTATCAGCCTTTCCCCATCCTCTTTGTCTCCTCCTTCTTCAAATCTCTAGCACCCAAACTCTGCTTTTTGTTGGGAATTTCCACCTTTGACCATAGGTGTATAGCTGTAGCATTTCTTCTATTAAACACTGAATTACATCTCTTCCTGGTCAGCGTCACTTTCTCAACCAATGTCCCACCTCTTTATTTTGCAATCCGTGTAAGTTTATCTTTGGTTTTAAACATTTGGGTAACAGTGGTTAATTTTTTACTTTTGCATTAAGTGCATACATATAAAGTAAATATAGCACATTTACAGAATCTTCCTGTGAAAGCAGGCACAAAAATAATAGTTTTTGGCAGAAAATCATCATTAACATTGGAAACAGTCCATAAAAAGGTGCTGGCAGCTTTAGTCAAAATACAACTGCCATGCTTGTAGAAGTTTGGTTAGCAGATTTTTCCTTACTTCATTCCCTGTGGACATTACTGCAACCACTGGAAACTTGTTAACTTCAACTTCTGTTACTCCAACAGTTGCTAGGAGACCTATCTCTGATGGACCCATATGGGTTCCCTTGGCCAGCACACATTCACCTCTTTTAATGTCATGTCCTATAGGTCTAGAAATGCATCAGAAAAGGGAAAAAAATGGATTCAAGTTATCTGACCAAACACCAAGCAGGGCTGATAAAACTTATAAAATTTCAGAAGCTATTTATGCTAGAAACATATTAAACTGCTATTTTAGTTTTCAAAAGCAGTATGCAGTTGTGAAAACACGTAATTCACTGACCTGATATCTTGGCCTGGTCGAGCCTGCACCAGAATGCGCACCTCAAGTTCTTCGGTGCCCTGCAATAAAAGAAACAAGCTTTCTTCATATGTGTTAAACAAAGTTAAATAAGGTACTATCTCTTATCAGCCTTCATTGGGTATGAATGAAACTCAAGGTATGTTATAGAACGTTCTGTTCATATCAGATTTAAGCTCATATAATTCAAATATACAGGCAATGTCAGAGTTACGTGAGTCCAATTTATGCACGACTGCGACTGCACGCATCACAGCAACCCCTAAGTGGTCAGAAAAGGGTGTGGAACAGGAGTGGGGCAGGGGTGTAACAGGCTTATGCCCGCTCCACCGTCACACGCAGTGACCCAGAATGCAACTCGCATGTAAACTGGGGGGTTGCCTGTATTGCTTTAAAAACGTGTTCTAAAGAATGTTAAAACCCTACTGTAGTTTTGAGTCTATTGTGCTGGAAAAAGTGATTAATTTCCCATTGTGTCTTCCTTATTTGATTCAGAATATTAAGAAGAGCTGGGATGTATTGAAACGGCGTTTCTGTGCGCTCTGGCTTCCATCACAGTGTCCTATTGCACCAGAAGCAGTTTCGTCATGCTGGCCACATGACCCAGAAAGCTGTCTGGACAAACACCGGCTCCCTTGGCCTGAAGCGAGATGAGTGCCGCAACCCCATAGTTGCCTTTGACTGGATTTAACTGTCCAGGGGTCCTTTACCTTTACTTATTGAAACTAATATTGAAACTAATAACAGTTTACATGCCAGCTCAGTAATCATGAAACATAAAGGAAAAAGCTTAATTGGTACACACCAAAAGGGTAGTTTTGCATTGACATCACAGGGTCATCAGGTGGAGCTCTTGCTCCACCTGCTGGACAACAGTAGGAGAAAAGCTCCCATTTCAGTTTTGTGGATTATCCAAGCCTGAACAGCCATCAAGGTCACACACATGCATTAAAGGAAACAACCTAGCTGCCTACTTCCCTAACTCTAATTTACTAGAATTTAAGAAGAGCTGCTGCCAACTGGGCTGTAAAAACAACAAAACATCATGTTGCAGTCCATACTAAGGTGTAGACCAGGGGTGTCAAACTCAAATTCATCGGGGGCCGCATCAGCAGTTTGGTCACCCTCAAAGGGCCGGTTGTAACAAGTGGAGGTTTCCTGAATGCATGTAAAGTGGAGGTTTCCTGTGTAGAACGGCTGGCGCTGCTAGAGGGCAGACGTTCTCTGGCTTGTAGGCTGCCGTGCATGCGCTGAAGAGGCGGCTTTCTTGTGTCCAAAAAAAAAAAAAAAGCGAGAATAAAAGGTGAAGGCTGGCGGCCGGCGGCGGCTACACGGGCCACATGACGAGGTGCATCGGGCCGGATTCGGCCCGTGGGCCTTGTGTTTGACACCAGTGGTGTAGACGCTATGTAGTCAATGTAAAACTATCCTTCAGGTACCCATTGTACATTTCCCCATTGACATCATAGTTTCATTTTGTTGGGATATACAAAAGCTTTCCCAATTATGGTAGGTCCTAACTGCAACAATATGCACCATTACTGTGGGAGGGCCTGCTGCTTCTGCTTCGGTGAAAACATCCATTTTACAGTGCCTTATAAATGTGCTGGGAGCTCAGGTATCCATCCCGCATACCCCTGCAAGGGTAAAGAAGGCCACTGAGGCAGCTCCTTCCCCAGTAGAGTGAATTGCCATTGCTATGCAGGCGCGTATCCATCTGGACAATGCAGATGGCATTGTTTTCTTGCTCAGAATAGGGGTGGGAAGAAAGGAGCAAAATGTGTCTCCGTTTGTCTGAAGTCCTTAGTTCTGAAACTGAAATGGGAGCTGCCTAGTTTTTCTTCTGTCTTCATCTGCCAGATGGAACTAGAGCTCAGCCTGATGACCCAATGTTAGTGGGGAAATGGATGTGTGGGGAAGGATATACCTCTCCTTCTCGTAGTGATAAGCTGACAGACAGGTTGAGAACCAATTATCTTTTAAAAATAAAAATAATAAAAATACTCTTACTACATGTGGTCAATTCTGTGAACCGCCCTGAGACCCCCAGGTATAGGGTTGTATATAAATTCCAACAACAACAACAACAATAAAAATAATAATTTTTAAGGATTCTGGAGGGATCTCTTAAGCATGCAATTGCTAAAGCTTTAAATAGCACTTTTGAGACCTATGTAGTATAGGATAAATGAAATATCTCAGTCCCCCATCTTCCAGTAGTCCCTCATCCTGCTCTCATGAGTCCTAGTCATTACCTGCCTCAATCCAATCAAGGCAAAATTAATGATAAAAATTCAATGCAAACAAAAGCAAGAACAGAGATTGCAAAATTGCACAAACTGTTATTTGTTTCAAATGTGTATTTCTATGTATAGCCAAACTTATTTGATTACGGACTGCTGAGTGATTCTCTGGAGCCATGCTGCTGTACGTAGCAGGAACAAGAATTTTAACGTTCTCACTCACATCATCTGATTCCCTGATGAGTTCTGTGTCTTCCACCTGCACCACAGCGTCAGCACCACAGGGTATTGGAGCACCAGTTGTAACTCTCATTACCTGACCAGGCATTACAGTTTGAGTTGGCTGAAAAATATCAGGGAATGTAATTTAAATTTTTTTAAAGGAACAGGAGGTCCCAAGAGGCACTATATTATGCAGAAATAACTTGGAATGAAAAAAGTCTTTCTATTAGTAACATATTTTTTTTACCAAATTTTGATTAGCTCTGTTCACATAAAGACCATTAAAACAAATTGCATATATAAAAACAATTTAAAAATTATATTTATATAAAACAGTTTAAAGCAACAACAGTGCATACATAAAATCAACAGAGATTTGTTTTTGACATGCTATGGAATGGACCTGCTAATCAGATGGTATCTGTGGGATACCTTCTCCTTTATAACACAGTGAGTTTGTAGGGTGTATGGCACTCTTTTAGGTATCCTGGACCCAAGCTTTATAAAGCTGTGTATACCAGTACTAGCCCCTTCAGCCTAGCTTGGTAACTAACTGGCAGCTAGCGGCTGACATGCTCTACAAACTAGGCTGTCTATAGAATCATCACAAATTATTTATACTTCCTTTTTAAAAGCAGTGAAATGTGTACTGTACATCATATCATATTAGGGGAAAACACTTTTCAACAAAGGAAAATTAACATATAGTGCACTCACTTGTTCACCAGCTTGGGATTCCCCAATGATGAAACGATCCCCAGGTCCATCAGCAGCTGTTAATAATACAGCAACAAGATAATTACAATTGTTGCTTAAACAGACATTAATAGGATTATTACTATTGTTCTTTACTTCATAACTATTCCTCCAACTCCAAATCCAATTGGCAATTATGATTTCTATAGATTTTTTTTAAAAAAGTGAAGAGTTTATCAAGTTGTTCCACATCTCTCTCCCTGTTTTTATTACTGATGCACACCAAGCAGGACTCCTTTTCCATTATAAGATTTTGGATTATCCAAGATTTACTGGTGTTGAACAACAGCACTAGCAGTTGAGAGGGCTGACTGTGTATCCCACATTATGTTGGCTGGAAAAAGGTCAGAAGAGGGGACAGCTCTCAGATATCTCTTCCTTCTCCTTCATGTTCCTTCACCCTGGGTGCTAATTAAAAAAGCCCCCAAAGAACAATATTGAGTAGAACACAGCTCAATGCTTCAAATAAAGTTACTTTTAAAGGTATGTACGAAAAACATGTAAAGACTATTTGTGTTTGTTCTGTAACTAACCTGAATCAATTTCATAAAGGGAAGGACTAACGTGCCCCCTTGCCCTTTGGGCACCACTGAACATGCAAAGCAATCTAGTGTAAAGCTGAACTCTCAAAAACATTATTTCATGGTCAAAACCACGAGTATTTACCTCTGACAGCATAGCCATCTTTTACTGAAGCTGGGAAGGGTGGTAGGTTGTCTTTTGCATAAACATCTTGGGCAAGGACTCTGCCCATTCCATCTAATATGAGAGAGGCAAAATCTTTGTTAGCAAACATTGACTGCAAAACAGTTCCAATGACAAACTAAGTTCATATGTGCACAATACTGCTAATACTGCTACTGTGTGGTCCTCCAGATATTGTTGGACCCAGCTCCAGCCAGCATGGCCGATGGAGTTGTGGTCCAGTAACATCTGGAGGGCCACAGTTTCCTGGCATAAAAGCAGCTTTCAATTTATGTCAATGATAATTAGTGAGAAATTCAGTCTGGAACAGAGGTAAAAGATTAGATTCAGCCAGCCATCAATTTACATTACAATTAATATGTAGATAGTGAGAGCAAGGACGTCAACCTCTTATTATTAATAATAATAATAATAATAATAATAATAATAATAATTTATTATTTATACCCCGCCCATCTGGCTGGGTTTCCCCAGCCACTCTGGGCGGCTTCCAACTGAATATTAAAAACAGTACAGCATCAAACATTAAAAACTTCCCTAAAGAGGGCTGCCTTCAGATGACTTTTAAAAGTAAAATAGTTGTTTATTGCTTTGACATCTGCTGGGAGGGCGTTCCACAGGGCAGGAGCCACTACCGAGAAGGCCCTCTGCCTGGTTCCCTGTAACCTTACTTCTCGCAATGAGGGAACCGCCAGAAGGCCCTCGGCGCTGGATCTCAGTGTCCGGGCTGAACGATGGGGGTGGAGACGCTCCTTCAGGTATACTGGACCGAGGCCATTTAGGGCTTTAAAGGTCAGCACCAACACTTTGAATTGTGCTCGGAAACGTACTGGGAGCCAATGCAGATCTCTCAGAACTGGTGTTATGTGGTCCTGGCGGCCACTCCCAGTCACCAGTCTAGCGGCCGCATTCTGGATTAATTGCAGTTTCCGGGTCACCTTCAAAGGTAGCCCCACGTAGAGTGCGTTGCAGTAGTCCAAGCGGGAGATAACTAGAGCATGCACCACTCTGGCAAGACAGTCTGCGGGCAGGTAGGGTCTTAGCCTGCGTACCAGGTGGAACTGGTAGACAGCTTCCCTGGACACAGAATTAACCTGTGCCTCCATCCTTATCCATCCTTTGTACTTATCCATCCTTTGTTCAAGGAGTGCAAGAGGGCGAACAAACCTCCCCAACTGTATTCTATCCTCAGAAAGCTATGATTTTTTTTTTTTTGGGGGGGGGAAACTTATTCAGAAAAGAGAATACTGTATAACACATGCTATTCTTAGCTGTGAGCATAACAGCAGCATTCATGATGAGCATTTCCTCCCCTAGTTTATATCCTAACTGCTGCTATCTTCTCAATCACCTTGCCCAAAAATGGTTTATTGGTGCCTGGGAGGTAGTTAGCACAGACTTTTTTTGTGACTGGCTGCACCACTATGTCCTTCAAGGCAGTGGGTACACATCATCATATAATAAAGTGGTCACCACACCCCTCGATTCACCCAGTCAACCCTCCACAGCTGACACAAAGCAGCCAGGATTGATGTGGGTCAAGACAGCATGTAGTAGATGGCAGAGCTACAAGTGTCTTGTCCACATCTTCAGCATCAATAGCTGAAAATAACAGAAGAAAATTGTATACAATGGTATATCAAGACACCTCAACAGAAGTGTGTCATTCAAGTCCACATGAAGACAGGTG